TACATTAATGTAAACGGCTCGTTGTAGAATGACAACATCGGTGATTCCTTGGCAGCTGAGGACAATGCCTAGGCAAAATGCATCTCTTTTGGCCATTCTGGTGAAGAGACATGGTATCATTGTCGCGACTACCTTGGAGAGGAAAGAGAATACAGCCAATGTCTCAATGATACCGAAATGCCTCCATGTTATCAGCGAGAAATCAAGCTTTGTACCACTGATTACAACATAGAGCGGAAGGAGGACATAAGAGATGAAGCTGTCAAGCTTAGTGATCAAGGTGGAACCTATAGGCGGTCCATCAGGTATAGCCAGGCCTAAAAGCATCGGTCCAAATAGAAAATGTTGCCCAACAATTTCACCAAAAAGTGCACTAGCCATCACCATTATGAATATCTCGAAAATGTGGCTCTCACTCACTGATTTCTTACCCTCGGATCGTCTGGCCATCCTCTGCACGAGCGGACGGACGAGGCATCCAAGAAGGATCAGCATGATGGCTACAAATAAGAACATTAGTAACAAACTCCCCTTTTTGTGTTCTCCAATACTCTGCTTTCCGGTGAATATGATGCTGATCCAGAACCACGCGCACGTTCCACTAATCATGGACGACGATAAAGCAAGCTTACCTATCTCCGAATTCAGTAGCTTCAGATCAGTTAAGAGACAATTGGTTACATGGAAGGAACTCATGGATTGCAATGAGGCAACCCAAAGCAATGATCTGTGGATTCTCTGTTCCAGGGCAAGTGAATGTAAGAAACATTGAGAAATTATAAAGCTAAGTATTAAGGGGAATAAGAAGGTAGCTAGGCCTATGATCACTGCCCTCCTTCCTGTATTCCAAAGCATATTCAAATCCATTTTCACTCCCACGAGGAACAAAAATAGCATTAAACCAAAGTAGGCTAAGGTGTCCATCACATAGAAACTTTCAGGTAAGAAAAATGCCTCCCTGATAGAATGGTGCGATCCCATGATTGAAGGACCCATTACAAATCCTACCTAAAGAAAACACATTTAATATAATAATATTTGAATGTATGTGAAATGCGTGTATAAATATAGAAGAGAAAAATAGGAATTAAAGTTGGCGTGGCGTACCAGCATCTGCGACACAAAATTGGTTACCCCAAGAGGGGCAAGAAAGAACTGGAAAAGAGAAGTGAAAATGCCACAGAGAGAAATTTGAGCCAAAACCATGGGATTCACGAAGTTTAATGGATCATCACCAAAGAAAACCCCTCTGTTGATTCCATAATGTTTCGTTAAGAAACAAATTGTACTAGTCTCATTAACGTCGTTACTGTCCATTGAAAAGCAAAAGTGACCGAAGAAAGCTTCTAAATTTTATTGCTTTAGGACAATCATACTGTCTATGAGAATGTTTATTTGGGAATGAATGAACAGGAGGAACAAGGGGACCGATTGATTAAGAAATCCTTTTATCTAAATATGTTGTTAAAGTTTTGAGTGTTTAATGTTATTTGGTAAGCTTAATAAAGGGCCATCCAAGTTATAAAATAACTGCAGTATTCATGGAAAGATAAGTGGTGGATATAGATAATTCTTCTCCTGAGGTGAGAAACAAAATTGGCTGCTGAGACTTCGGAACTTTGAAAGAAGTGGTTTTTAAGCACACTTAATACTACTTTTTAAGGATATACTTTTGCCGTAAAAAGGATATACTAATAACGGTTTAGGATACCAAACAATAATCAAAAAGAAAAAAAGAAAAAAAAGAAGAAAGAGAAATAGATAGTATTTCGGCAAAAATACAAATCTATATTTGTGTTTATGTTATATCTATCTATATCTATATTTTCTATATTATATTAAATGGAGGATAGTCAAGAATGATATTAAGTCAAGTGGCGTTGTTGATACAAAGCTTTAACTTTGGATTAAAATTTATCCAATATATTAAATACAAATAATTCTATTTTTTAGATTGAATAATAACATTACTGATTTTATGAGGAGGAATCATGATTAAGGAAATTATTTTTATCGGCAAGGTAAATCAAACAAAGCGGCAATGATTTCAAATTTTTGTTAAGCTTTTATTCAAATTAATGAAATTTAAGTCGATTTATAGATATAAAATAAAGATAAATCTATCTATATTATATTAAAAGAAGGGTATTGAGGCATGGATTAAGCTAAATGGCGTATTAAAAAAAGTCACTTGGCACTTTTAAGACATAATCTTAATAGATAAATCTAATAAGGATTAAGACACATTAGATTTGATCAAATTTAATTTATGGTAAAAATTAATTAAGATTGACTCACATTGTAACGACCCGGCCAATCGTTTATGTATTTGAGCCCCGTTACCCTACTTGATGCTTCTTCTATGCTTGGTTGTAATTTTGTGACTTGCGGGGATGGTTGGTTTGGTTCCGAGAAGGTTTTGGACTGAATTGGAACACTTAGTTCCTTTGTTGGAAGTTTAAGTTGTAAGAGTTGATCAGAATTTGACTTTTGTGTAAATGTGTCACGACCCCAATATCCCTCCATAGGATGTCGTGATGGCACATAGTCTCTACGACTAGGTAAGCCTAACATTCAATATAACTTGATAGGAATAATCAACAAAATACTAAAAACAACGCTGAATAACTGTTATAAACTCCTGAAATAGAATCTTAACAAATACTTTCCCAAAACTGGTGGAACTGAGTTATAAGCTCTACAGAGTGAACTAAAATGTCTACTACATCACTATCCGAATGAAATACGACAGGAAATAAGGAATAAGGAAGGTGACTCCAAGGCCTGCGGACGTAGAGCAGGTATACCTTGAAATCTCCAAAAATAGCTACTCAAATCAATCTAGCATCCGACACGTACATGGATCTGCACAAAAAGATATGCAGAAGCGTAGTATGAGTACATCACAACGGTACTCAATAAGTATCAAGCCTAACCTCGGTAGAGTAGTGACCAGCCCAGGTCAAGACACCTACTAGGATATAAATAAACAGTATGAAAATACAAGAACGGATAATAATGGAAGGCGGAGAAATAATTGATACAAAACAAGTTAATAATATGAACTAGTACCCAAATTTTAAGCATGAAAATAACAAAAAGGAAGCAACTAAAGAGAACCAAAATGATCATATGCGGACAACAACTGATAGAACAAGAAAGAACAAAACAACAAAAAATGTTCCCACCAAAATTCTTTGCAACATGAAATAAATAACAATAATCACTACGAGGTACCGCCTCGTGTTCAATAAAAATCACAATCAAGGTACCGCCTCGTATAAATCAAGAATCACAACCGAGGTACCGCCTAGTATTCACATTTCTCAATTTCAATCACAATCTTTCCTTATACCGCCGCGTGAGCCTTACATTTGAAATAGTTTTGAAAGTATTTTTCCGAAATAGCTACACGCACTTTAACCTACCTTATGATGCTGCGTGGCTTCATGTAGTTCCCCTACAAGCAACATGCAGATAAGTCCCACTTTATACCGCCGCATGCGCGTCAATATCACATCACAATAATCACTCGCACCACAGATGCCCATATATCACAACTTGCTAGCAATCAATAATATCAATGTTTCTACAACAATAGCCCACGGCTCCACCACAGCGTGCATAAGAATATCAACAATAACAATGAATGTAAAATTCTCAACAAGAAAGATATCTCAACAATTATCAACTTCGCCTCAAGTGATATGGCTTTCACAACTTCTATACCAATAACTCAACATTGAGAAAGAAAACGTGTACCTAAATACAAATAAATCATAATGGAAGAAATAACATGACTTCAAATGAGAATAATAGCAACGAAATAGATTCACTATGAGGTACTGCCTCGTATACAATAAGAATCACAACCGAGGTACCGCCTCGTATTCACATTTCTCAATTTCAATCGCAATTTTTTCTTGTACCGCCGCGTGAGCCTTTCATATGAAATAGGTTTTAAAAACTATTTTTCTGAAATAGCTACACGCACTTTAGCCCACCTTATGACACCACGTGGCTTCACGTATGTAAGGCCCATACAAATTGTAACCAAAACTCGGGGTTTCGTGGTGCCAAGATAGATTTCTACGTTATTATAGTAGAAATTCTTCGCGGCGAGCTTGGGAGCCGCAGTTCTGACTTTTTGGATTGAACAGTACCCTACGGACTTAGAGAAAAATATTTTGTAGAAGAACGCATTTCTGCGGCCCATTATGCGGCCGCATAATCACTCTGTGGACCGCATAATGGCCGCAGAGTGAAGCAGAAAGTTTGGCCAATTTGAGGTTAGTTTTGCGGTTGATTATGCGACCGCATAATCACTATGCGGACCGCATATTGGTCACATAATTCCTCTTGGGTTTCTGCGGAGGGAGTTTTGCGGTGCATTATGCGACCGCAGAACAAGTATGCGGATCGCATACTGGTCGCATATCTGGGCCGAAAGTTTAGGCCCCTGAGGACCATTTCTGCGGTCACTTTGCGGACCGCATAACCATTATGTGGTCGCATATGCGACCGCAGACCTGTGTCGGGGCACCCTTTTTTTTAATTTAAAACCTGACCCCTATTCCGTTAAAACACCACTTTAGTCTATTTTGAGCTCATTTTCTGATATTTTTAGAGTGAGAGAGAGAGGGATCAAGAAGGAGGGCCTAAGTTTTCATCAAATTGATCTTCAATCATCACTTAAACCTTTGGAAATATTCAAGTAGAGCACCAAATTCTTCATCCAAAAAGGTAAGACATCATCACCCCAGCTCTTAATTTCAAACATAGCTAGAATGGGGTACTAGTGTGATACTTCATGGGTATGAGGGTGGTTTATCTTGCATGCATGTGTGATAAAGAGTGTGGGGAAAAAGTGAGCTAGAACCATAAACGTTTTCCTAATTTTGGGTTCAATTTGTATATTGCTAAAATAGATTGAGGTTGCTAAGAGTTCCGGATAATTGTAGAGTCTAAAGAAGAAATTGTTTGCCTTAGTGTGTTGGATTGAACGATTTATGTTCCCTAAATATTTTAGATGGGTACCATGTCATCATGCTATTTGAGAACGTAATTATTATTTTCCAAGCTCCTTCCCTTATGTGTGCAATGCCTTATGTGATGGTACTTATCGACATGAATTATGATGTTATTTGAACGAATAAAAAGGGAAAGACTTGAATTGTAAAATGCTCCCAAGTGCCAAGAACTACTTAATAAATGAGGTTGTTTGTGCCATGTAATGAAAGATGGGAAAGAAATGTGAATTGATTGAACAATTGAAAGAGGTTATGTATCAAGTGAGATGGCTTAGCTGATCGAGCCGAGATCGGACGCCATGCTGTACACTTGGTGGCATTTGTGTTGGAATTATTGATTTACATTGTGGATATAGGTATGTCTCACTTGAGATGGCTTAGCCGGTCGGGCCGAGACCGGACTCCGTATAAAAATACGGTGGCATTGTGAGTTGTGGCTTTGGCACTAAAGATTATTAACCCAAAAGGATGGAAGAATTGAATTGGAAACTATGTGATCCTTACTGGTGTTTCTTTGTATTCTGTGAAGTACTTATTGATTATTATGACTGCCTTCTCTTTGTTTCATTGTTCATTCTACTAAGATTGGTGTTTGCCTTACATACTAGTACTATTCGACAGTACTAACGTCCCTTTTTGCCGGGGACGCTACATCTTTGAATGGATGTAGGTGGTTCCATCGCAGATAGTGGTGCTCTCCTTCACACTCATCACAACAGTCTTGGTGAGCCCCATTTCCTCCTGGGGTCATGTAGTCCTTCTTTTGTAGAAGTTTTCACATTTTGAGGTATAGCCGGGGCCTTGTTGCCGGCATTGTCATTGTCACACCTCGAACCTTGGAGCGAGACCAGCACCCGGTGCCTCACCTAACTTGGCGTACCAAATTGCGGCTAAGGGACTCTGAACATATAATATCATACTTTGGCCATGGGGCCACCTTGCAAGACAATTTGCGAAGCAAAATATAAAACTGAATGGAAACTAGTGCTAACTAAACATCAATATAAAGCTAGGCCGACAAAGCCGTCATAGCTACTACAGCTGACAAACCATCAAATATACATACCNCCCCGACCTACCCATAACATATATACAGATATACATAAGATATACATAAAACTCTAGACCTGGCAACTCCGAAAGACGTGGAGCTTACCGATCAGGCTGAACTCGGGAAACACCTACTGAGGAGGTCTACCCGTCTGTCTGTCTAAACCTGCATGCATGAAATGCAGCGCCCCCAGAAAAGGGACGTTAGTACGAAATAATGTACCAAGTATGAAAGGC